CCAGCGTTCCGAGATGTCTTCATGAAGAACTCCTCTGCCAGCAGGCCCGTGTCGTTCAAGCTAGTGTAGTCCAGCTTGTCTAGCGCGTACTCGAACACCGTGTTCCAGCCCGTGAGGTGGCCGTCTTCGTCCACTGTGTCCACCAGGTCGATCTTCGGGCAGCTCTCCACGGCGCTCCTCACGCGCGGTCCGAGCGCTCGGACCAGCTGTGGTCCGCAGACGTAGCGGTCGGCCACGCGCACGCTCTTCACGAACATGGACACCTCGAAGCGGTAGCTGGAGAGCTTGTCGGCCTCCCCGTTCCACGTCGGCACCTCCACCCTGGAGGTCGTAGAGGCCGCGCCGCTCGACGCCATGGCGGCGAGACTGGTGGAAGCCCGTGGCGGAAACCACAGGCTCCGCTACCAATCTGAGTCCCAAGGAGCCCGAAAGAGGTCCACGACTAGGAAGTCCCGGGCCTCGAGCTCCTCCAAACACAGGATCGTCAATATGTCAAGAATCTTGACGCTTGACTGTGAGAACACAATCAGCGAAATGAAGAGGGCACCCGCTGCCCTCGCACTCTTTCCTGGCACGTCTCCTGAGCGCGCCACTGCCTGCGAACTCGCAGGTTCATCCAGAAAGGAATCCCGCCCACCCTCGCCTGATCCGAGGTGGCGGCGGCACACTGCAATGATAACGGTAGCAGCGAGTGAGAATGAAACGCACGAAACAGACTCGATACATTTGCTAGCAGCATGTGATACCCCTTATCACATTCAGAGGTACCCCCCCCCACGCTTCTTGAGCAACCCAGAGCATTCAAAACTAAACCCAGACCTAGATCACCCCCAGGGGCGCGAAGACAACTCGCGCTTCGTGCATTGCGGCCTGGGCTTGAGGGGCGCCCCTCTCCGCGGCGGCGGCGCGAGGGCGCGAAGGCAACACGGTGCGCCGCGCCCCGCGGGGGCGCGAGGGCGCGAGCCTGGGCGACCCCGGAGACGGGCCCCGAGGCTTCTCGTTGTTCTCGGGCGCCTCCTCCTCCTCCCTTCCCTCCCTCCCTCCTCCTCCTCCTCCTCCTCCTCCTCCTCCCTCCTCCCCCTCCTCCTCCTCCTCCTCCTCCTCCTCCTCCTCCTCCTCCTCCTCCTCCTCCTCCTCCGCCCCCCGGATACTTGGCCTGCCCGTCGTGTGGGCCGCGTCTCGGTCGGGACCCGTCCGGTGGTTGTCCGCGGGGGGCGGCGCCCTCGCGCGGCCGCGGAGCAGCGGCAGGCGCGCGCGCGCGCGAGCGAGCTGCAGCGAGCGGCGGGTGCGCCCGCGGCCCGCCGATCGGGGGAGAAAAAGATACGGATACGTGTTGTCCCCCGTCGTTTTCGGCCTTTCCTGGTCCTCCTGGGGAATCCTCGTTGTCACCGCTGGATTCGCCTCGAAATTCTGGTCAGAACGCACCCCAAGAGAGGTCCGGGGACAACACGTATCCGTATCTTTCCGCCCCCCAAGCCGAACGAGCGAGCGGGCAGGCCCCGAGGATCGAGGTTCCAGGGGCAGAGAAAGGGGGCAGCCGCGATGCGCCCCCTCGACCAGCCCAGCCCTGATCCTCGGCGCCCTGCCGGGAGGGTCGCGTCGTGCGACGACGGCTCCTCCAAGGGCGTGGACGGTGAGGAGGTCTCGGGCCGGGGTTTCACTGCTTCCTTGCCCGATACGGCTCCGCTGTTGGACTTCTGCGGGCCCACCATCCTTGCTGAATATGATGCTCGCTACACTGGTGCCAGCGTGCAGGCACTATAACAACGTCGGTGAGCTGAGCGCCATGTGTTGCGCCTTGTCCTTCATCTGCGATCATATCCGTACATAGTCGTCTCAATCATCTTCTATATCAGATTGCATCGGGTATGATTCGGAGCACGCGGCCAACATAGAACGCGGACTTTCGAGGGCACGCCAGAACATCAGGCTAGCCCTGCATGTTCGGCGTTTGGTTGACGAGCTTAGCCAACGCCTATTATGGCAGAAGGTGGAGTCTCGCCCGGGACTGCTCCTCAACGACAGGGTTGCTGAACTCGCAGATTGGTGCGAGTGGACTCCTCTGTGGCCTGCCAGATGCACGGAGGTGTGCAAGCTTAGCAAGCTGACTATCAAGATCTGAGGTCTGGCGGCCCCTGACTGTATCCATACACGCGTCTTGCCCCCACGGGCTCTTCGGGCCAAATTGCCTAAGGTGCAGCATCGAACGACCATCGTACCATCGTCGACGATAGGACCGGAGGCGGATCGGAGGGATGCAGTGCACAAGTGTGGGTTTTGGTAAACATTTTTAAAAAAAAAAAAAAACAAAAAAAAAAAACGCGACCCACCCACCTTGCCGGCAGATCGAGGCCGATTGTGGCCTTCCGCTCCTGACCGGGCGGCGCGTGCGGCCCCTGGCTGCCCCAAGTCGGGGATCTGCGGGCCAGCCATGCGGAGATCCTGGCGTGGCAAGGGTTTCACACCGGGCGTTTTTTGTGCCCCGTTTCGGGGCCCGAGACCCTCACATATCGATCTGTCTCGAAAAACGAGGCACACAGATGGGGTCTACGGCTCCAGTCGCGATGTTTGGCGATGTTTTTTTTTCGCAGCGTCGGATCTCAGGGAGCGGTACTCGCAGCGACTGATCTTCGAAGCTGGAGGGCAAAGGCGACCTGCTTCAAGAAGGGCCAAGCTGTAACTATGAGGCCTGCGCCAGGTACCGCTTTCGCTTTCTAGCCATAAGCGTCTGAAGGCACGTTGGGTGTCGTTACGCATATGGGCACATGCGGGGTCGATGCGTCTATAGACAACGCGGCCGTTGCTTCTAGCGCAATACAGAGTCGGCGAAAGGATAGATCCGTCTACGGTCTGCTCCTGTTCTGGAACCAGGTCACACACGAGCGACGCAAGCGACGGGGCCCTCTGCACCAGCATTGGCGCGCCAGCTGACCGCACAGGGTCGCGCGTGAGCGCCTTCGGTCGCCACTGTGGCCTGCCGCGCTGGCGGCCCGCGCAAGCTGCCGCGTCAGGTCGCTACGTCATCCCGCGTAAGGCCCGTTCATTGGCGTCGCCCACATGGTACTCCCAACCTTCAGCTCCGCGCAGAGGGGGGTGGGGGGAGGGGGGAGGGCTTCTTAGAAGCACCCCTGCTTCTTAGAAGGCGCGGGCCTCATCTATAGATGTAAGGCCGGCGCCTTCTAAGAAGCAGCCTCCTCCTAAGGAGCCTTCCCCCCTCCCCCCACACCGTTGTGCACGCCGCCAGGAGGAGGAGGAGGAGGAGGAGGAGGAGGAAGAGGAGGAGGAGGAGGAGGAGGAGGGAGGGGGAGGGAGGGGGTAGGAGGAGGAGGAGGAGGAGGAGGAGGAGGAGGAGGAGGAGGAGGAGGAGCAGGAGGAGGAGGCGGGGAGAGGCGCTGTCGAACCCCAGTGCCGCCAGCCTTGAGCCCTTGGAGGAGGAACCTCCACTCCTGACCGGGCGGCGCGTGCAGCCCCGGGCGGCCACCCTTCGGAGAGCTTGCGGGCCAGCGACGCACGCAGCGATGGATCCTCGGAGGGTGGTGCCGCAGGTTCGCGGCGCGTGTCGACGCGGCGCGACCCCGCCGCGAGCGCTCGAGGTGGAGCGCAGCCTGTGGCCCAGAATCGGCCAGAACCATCTGGCGACCGGGATCGGGAAACTGCCGATCGTTCCAGGCTGAAAGGTCCACGCGGTTTCTGAAGCCAGCGCTGGGGGCAGCCACGACACGGGCAGGTGTACAGGGGAGGAGCAGGAGAGGGAGGGGGAGGGGAGAAGGGAGGAGGAGGAGGTGGAGGAGGGGGGAGAGGAGGAGAAGGACGAGGAGGACGAGGGGGAGGAGGAGGAGGAGGAGGAGGAGGAGGAGGAGGAGGAGGAGGAGGAGGAGGAGGAGGAGGAGGAGGAGGAGGAGGAGGAGGAGGAGGAGGAGGAGGGGGAGGATGAAGGGGGATAGGGGGAGGAGAGTCAGAGCAGGAGGACGGAGGCTCCGAATCAACGACCCAGAGGCTCCGAGTCAAAGAACACAGCTTCGGAGTCGTCACGGCACGAACCCTGCCGTGGAAACGCCCCGAAGCCGACGGCATGTGGCCTCTCCGATGATCAATGATAGGGATGACCCACGCAGCTGGTGGCCCGCGCCCCCCGCAGCCTGGGGGCAGAAGTGAGAAGGGGCGGGCCTTCTCAGCGGCGAATGCGGACGGGCCTCCACGAGGGGGAGGGGGAGGGAGAGGAGGACGAGGAGGGGGAGGAGGAGCAGGGGGAGGAGGAGGAGGGGAGGAGGGGGAGGAGGGGGGAGGAGGAGGAGGAGGAGGAGGAGGAGGAGGAGGAGGAGGAGGAGGAGGAGGAGGAGGAGGAGGAGGAGGAGGAGGAAGAGGAGGAGGAGGAGGAGGAGGAGGAGGACGATGGAGGAGGAAGGGGGAGTGAAGAGGAGGAAGTCCCCCAGCTTTCTGAGAGGTTTTCTCAGAAGAAGGAAAATCCACATAAACATAAATGTTGGCGCTCCGCGCGGATTTCTTGTATCCGCGCTGGACCCCCCTCACTGGCGCGCGGAGCGCGCCAGGGCGGCGCAGGAGGCGCCGCCGGGGGGCCCAGGCGCGGATCCAATAAATCCGCGCGGAGCGCCAAAAGTTTATGTGTATGTGGTGTCATCTTCTTCTATTTCTGAGCCTTCCCCGAAGACAGACATCTGTTCAGAAGGCGCGAGGGCTTCTGAGAAGCGCCGCCGCCTTCTGAGAAGGCCTTCTCCTTCTCACTTCCACCCTGAAGTCGGGCATGTCCCTCCACAGGAGGAGTATTCAAGAATAGTAGAAACAGAGTATGGTGACGATGTTTCGTGCTCTGTGGACAACGTTTGATTGCTTTTGACTATTGCTCATTTGTCGTCCAATCCGACTGTAGGAGGACATGCCCGACCTACTCCCCCCCCTCGCTTGCCGCCGAGATGGCAAGCCCGACGCCCCCCCGCAGGGGGTGCCGAGGCCGAAGGCAACGGGGCCCCCGCCGCCCACAGGAGGTGCTCGAGGCGAGGGCCGCCGCGGTTGCCTCGCAGGCCCCCACCCGCGGGGGGGAGGGGGCGGCTGCGGGGGGGGGGGAGGGGGCGAGGATTGGGGTACTAGTCATTGGGCGCGTTCCACTACTCGCAGAGTGTCTACTCGCACACGTGCGAACAAATATGTTTATCTCTGTGTCATGTATCGGAAGTCCCCCGCGGCGGATCCAGGCCATTTGCGGGTAGTTGCTTGGCGAATCGTGGAACGCGCTTGTCCAATTAGGGATCAGCTGTCAGGGTCAGAGTTAGCATCGAGGGTTAGGGTGGTTGAGTTTGGGTGTTAGAGTGTCATGGGTTAGGGCCCGTGCGTTGGATTGGAATGCCAGGGTTAGTGCGTTAGGCTTAGGGTGTTAGGATCAGGCGTGATGTGCAGGGTCAGGGTTCGGGTGTTAGAGAGTTTGGATGTTTGGTTTAGCGCTTAGGGTTAGGGTTCGACTTCGAGTTCTGGTTTTTGGGATCGGGTTCGGGTTAGCGCGTGAGGGTTTGGGTGTTTGTTGTAGGTATTCGTAGGGTAAGGGCCACTGGTTAGGATCAGGGGTCAGGGTTGGGTTAGAGGTTTGGGTCACGGCGCTCGGCTTCGGGATTCGGGCCAGGGCTCGGGGGACAGAAAGGGGGGCTGGAGGGGGGGGATGAACTGCCAGCCCGAAATGGGGGGAGGGGGGAAGTCCAACCCCCAGCCCGAAAGGAGAGCAGGGGGGGTCCAACCTCCTCCTCTCCCCCCTTGGACAAGGATAGAGGGAGGGTGTTCCAGACGATCGATCAGAAAGGGGGTGAGCGGGGTGGGGGGCCTGCAAAACGGACCAGAGAAAGAGAGAAGGGGGGGCCACCCCCTGTTTGGGAGAAGAATCAGCGGCGACTCTCCATCTGTCCTCCGCCTTGGCCACGTTAGTAGCTAGTTTTTTTTCTTACTGCAGCACGGCTTGATTCTGTGCTTCGCGAGCATTCGATTATGCAGTGTTGTTGACCGACAGTGTACTTCAGCATGGTATTCCCATTATCGCTTTCTCTCTCTCTCTCTCTCTCTCTCTTCGTAAGTTTTGGGATGGGCATGACAGGGACGACCTGTTCTCTCCCAGACATATCGTTCCCCTTCCCTGTTGGGCTAGACCGCGCCACGATGGTCTCGCCCATGGAAGCTGGATGTAAGCGGCGCGAACTGATGCGGTGAAGAGGGTGGAGGGCCCACCCTCGCCGCTGCTAGGCAAAGCAGCGTGGCTCGACTGAAATCGTCGCTTCCCTTGGTGATCAAGGCAGGCTGCGCTCCCCTCATCCCCCTCCTCCTCCTCCTCCTCCTCTCCCCCTTCCTCCTCCTCCTCCTCCTCCTCTCCTCCTCTTCCTAATCATCATCATCATCATCATCATCATCATCATCATCATCATCATCATCATCATCATCATCATCATCATCATCATCATCATCATCATCATCATCATCATCATCATCATCATCATCATCATCATCATCATCATCATCATCATCATCATCATCTTCGTCCTCCTCATCCTCATCCTCCTCCGCCTCCTCCTTTTCCTCTTCCTCCTCTCCCCCCCTCCTCCCTCCTGCCCCGTCCTCGTCCTGCTGGCGTCTTCCTGTTCGCAGGGCGCGACGAAGGCCACGTCGACCGCGTCGTCGTCCTCGGCGCCCAACGCGCGCGCGCGACTTGAGACCGATTTTGACGCTCGGGTCTTGCGCTCGTGGCCCCGTGGGTGCAATTGCGGCGTCCAGGGGTGGGCACTTTGGAACCCTGGTGGGCACTTCCCCCAGGGCCCGCTTTCTCTCCCAGGGCCCAGGACCTGACTTCCCCCAGGGCCCGCTCTCTCCACCAGGGCCCGTGTTCCCCCGGGGCCCAGGACCCCTTTCCCCCAAGGGCCCGTCTTCCTTGCTTCTCCACAGGACCGGGCTCCCCCCCGATGCTATGGTCGGCCCTGATTAGTAGGTCGACCCTGCCAGATCAAGGGTGCCCTTGTGTCCTCTGCATCGCGACCCATGCCTTCTCGCATTCCTATGGCAGTGTGGCCCTCGGAAGGGTCTCGTGTCCTCTCGCGTGTCCTTTCCAATCAAGTCCGATTGTATACCAGGGAGCCCCAGGGAGGGGTGGCGCGCACACGGGGAGGGGCGGCGCGGTGGGGGCGGCCGTCCCATGGAGGGTGGGGAGGCGGGACGCCGTCCTGAAAAAATCAGGACGTTGCATGTCTGGGTAACCTGCTGGCCATAAAGCGCGCTGTGCCCCCCCCCCCCCCTCCCCCTCCCCCTTCTCCCTCCCCCCCATAACGTAACGCTCCCCCCCCCCCCCCCAGTGCGTCTCCGGCACTGCCGCAGTTCGTCTGGCACCACAGTCTGTCACGGTGGGTGGCGGGGGCGTTATGTTGTGCCCCCTCCCCCCCCTCCCTCCCCCCCACCCACCCAAATAACGCGCGCTATCGCCGCGAACGAACGAATATTCTCCAGGAGGGGAAACTAGGCACGGACACGTATAAGCGCCGCGATCGATGAGGGTATGGAAAGAGATTGGAAATTGAGGGGGAGACGAACACCCAGGAAGCAAGCAACGGGGATCCTCAGCAGGGGCACGCGGTGAACAGATTTGAATGTTTGGACTGTGGGCCAACTTGTTCCCTGAGATCCGATGTCTTGATTTGTTCAATACGCGGTCCCCCGAAGTCTCGACCCGCTCCCCAGGACCGGCTTTCCATCCTGAGTCGTTTTTTGACAGCCCCGGGGCCCGGCGAGGGCCCCTAGAGGCCGAAAAATACGAAAAACCTCCGTCTTGATTTTGTCAATACGTTGGAGGTCTGGGTTTGTGTCTCCCTGAGACGAGCAGGACGTCGCTTTGGGCGCGCGCCGCCGTCGCCAGCCATCGCCGTTGCCGGGCCCACCCGCCCCGCAACCGGGCGCCGCGCGGCGCAAGGCCGAGGCCAGCGCGGACGTCCAGCGGCAGGCGCGGCCCCCTGACGACGACGACGACGACGACGACGACGACGACGACGACGACGACGACGACGGCGACGGCGGCGACGGCGACGACGGCGACGACGGCGACGGCGGCGGCGGCGACGGCGGCGACGGCGAAGGCGACGGGCGACGGCGGCGACGGCGACGACGGCGACGACGGCGGCGGCGGCGGCGAAAGCGACGGCGACGGCGACGGCGGCGGCGGCGGTGGCGGTGGCGTCGGCGCGAAAGCGACGGCGACGGCGACGGCGGCGGCGGCGGCGGTGGCGGTGGCGGCGGCGGCAGCGACGGTGACGACGGCTGCGGCGGCTGCAGCGGCGGCGGCGGCGGCGGCAGCGCCCTCTTCACTTCTTCCACCTGCTGTGGCAGTTGAGCCTCCCTGCGACCCACGGCTGTCCAGCCGAGTAGCGTGGCGTCTGCGGGATCGCAGCCGACGGGCGCTGGGCCAGCGCGGCCCGTAGCCCCTGCCCCCGAGCAGGGGCTTCTTCGGCACGGCCACAGCCGAGTTCTCCGAGGTGTCCTCGTCCTCGGCCTCGCCACACCTCCCTCCTCCTCCGCGCCTCTTGGGGCACAGGGCGCCGAAGGTGGAAGGCCAAACACTAGGCACAGGTGATCGAGCTTCGAGGATCGTGGTTTGGGGGCGTTTTCGGGCACCTCTGGGCATCTGGGAGGCGTCTGGTCGCCATGGCTGGATCCCCTTCGGGCTTCCTGCCGAAACGCACCCCAGGACAAGTCCGGGGGTCGAACGTTGAGGACCAAAGGAGTGCCGCAGGTAGGGGATTTGAGGATCAGACAAATGGGGCCTGAGGGTTCTCCTCGATTTCGGTATCCATCGCAGCCGTATCGGGCACCAGGACCGTGTTGGGGGGGGGTAAAACTTGGCAGGATATTAGATTCACATATTTCGTTGAAGGCCGAAGAACCTATGCATGAGCATCAAAATCGCCAGCGTTCCTTACGGATTTCTCGGATCCGACGTCGTTGATGCATCGCCGACGACGAATCAGCGACGTATCTGAGATGCATCGGGCTCCATATCGAGCCGCATCGGTGACGCATCGGCGATGCGGCGCGATCCTCGGACCCGATCTACTTGGACCCGATCTGGGATGCCTCCAGGTGCGCGGAGGAGGGTCCAGCAACGACCCGAGAGTCTGCGCGGTTCTGCACCAGGGCACGTTGGTTCCGAACTTGCTCTCCTCTGGGAGGGGGGATCCGCTCGAGAGTGGGAATTATACGCAGCATGCTGGGGCACAGGGGGCTCGGCCTGGGCCGGGGCACCCTCCCTGATTCCCCCCCCGCCCCTTTGGCCCACGACATGGTTGGCCCCCCTTCGAGCTTCCGGGAACCCCCCCTCGCGGCAGGCACACAAAAGCGACCAGAGCAGCCCAACAGCGTCGACGGCGCCCAAGATTGCCTGAAGGCGGCCAAAGAGGCACCCCAGACGCCCCGAGAAACCTGCAAGATGCTCCCCGAAAGGGCCCCTGGATGCCAAAATTGCGACATCCCTGTAGGGTAAGCGTGCATGCTCAGCATATTCGTTTTTAGGGTCTCACAAGCGTCCAAGACGGCCCAAGAGGCCCCAAACATTGCCCCAAGACGGCCCAGTAGGCCCCCAAGGATACCTTAGAACGGCCCATGAGACCCGCAAGACGGTCCAAGACAAAACGGCCTAAGAGGGGCCCAAGAAGGAGAAGTCCAATTGTAGCATTTCGAGCCCTCCAGCACGAATGGGCCGCCGAGGCACCCAAGAGGCCCTCAAAGGCCCCAAAAGAGGCCCCAAGAGGCCCCCCACACGGCGCCTTGCAGTCCCAACAAGGGGACTGCACGAGCTCTTGCCCGGAAGCGTTGTTTAGTTTTTTCCTCCAGGGTTGCTTGTCGACTCCCCGTTTTTGTTGTCGATGCTCGGGGCATCCATGCAGACAGGATTCGGGGCGAGAACGGTCCTGGCCACGGCGTGCCGGCCAGCTTCCTGTTGTGGTCTGTGGTTCGGTGTGGGCGCTGTCTCCGTCTCGTCTCCTCCCCCTCCCTTTCTCCAAAAAGGCGCGTTGCAGTCCTGGTGGGGCACTATCAGCGTGAAGGGTGTGCCGAAAGATTCGGACGTCCCCGTGCGAACATGCCCATTGAGGCCGCAGGTGGAGCTCATCGTCCTCTAGGCACGACGCGTGCGAGGTGTGTTCCGAAATGGGCGGGGGTGCGCCGTGAGAAGCTGCCTATTGGTGCCATGGGTGGAGCTCCTTCTGGGGTATGATTCGCGTGACGGGTGTGCCAGCGTGGGCGGGGTGGCGATGTACGAGCCTTGTCTCTGGGCCTCGAAGTGGTGGTCCTTGTGGGCACGATCCTTGTGATGGGGTGTGCCGCAATGGCCAGGGGGTGGGCGCACCGCGAACCCTGCCTCTGGGGCCGCAGGCTGAAATCCCTGCGGGCCACGACCCGTGTGAGAGGTGAGACGGAGTAGGGGGGGGTGCAGGCTGCGAATCTTGTCTCTGGGGGCCGCCCGTGGAACTCACTGCGGGCCACGGCCCGCAGTGAGAGAGGTGCACCGAAGTGAGCGGGGCGACGCCGTGACGTCCCCTCTGGGGCCGCACGTGCAGCTACCTGCGGAGCACGGTCCGCGCGAGAGGCGTGCCGCTCTGCGCGCCTCGACTCTGGGATGACGCCAGGCCGAGCCTGTCTCTGGGGCCGTCCCGTCGGTTGAGCTTCCTGAGGGGCACGATCCGTTGGACAGCGTATACGTTTTGCGATGCCGGAAAGTGTCAGACTGCAGCTAGAGCTTGCTAGAACCTCAGCGCTCGCGCAGCGCGCGCGTGGTTCCAGTCGACCCGTAGAGCCGCTCACCCGTTCCTTGTCGATCGGGGCCGGGGTGCCTACACCCAGCCTGGGAGCGCGCAGGGTCTCGATCGGGGGCCTGTCGCCGATCCATCGGTGACACACCGTTGATTCCATATTAATGTGACATTAATATAGAATTAACGGTGTGTCAGGCATACCTGACAGTCAGGTATGCCTGACAGTCAGGCATATCATGACAGTCAGGCATACCGGTAAGCCTAAGTGTGGCATTAATATAGGTATGCCTGACAGTCAGGCATACCCAGGAAAAGATGGATCGCTCCAAAGCGCTCGGGATCGCTCTGGAACGGCCGCAGCGCCCGATGCATTATTGAAGCCCGCCAGTTCCCAGAGATTCCCGCTATAGCTTTCTCGATCCGATGTTATCGCCGTCTTGGCCTCGCTCTGCAATGTCCTGCCCCCCCTTGAGCCATCCCCCCGCTCTGGAGCAGTAAAGAGTGATCAGTCGCCAGCATTGGCCAACCTTGAGAGCTGTTGGAGCACCGGTGCGTCTGTGTGTATTGATCATGTCTTCTGGCATTACCCTGGCCTGTGTTTTTTTGTTCTTCGATAGTGATCGCTTTGTAAAAGGCAACCTTGCATCGTGGGTGGGTCCAGATTCGAACGCGTACTTTGAGTGTGTTAGTTGGTCCTCTGTGACGCACAGAGGCGGGGCCAACGCGGTTTCAGACAGGGGGGGCTTGGAGGACAAACGGTGGTCAACATCTCCAAGATCTATGGTCAAGAAGCCTTGGAGGGCAAAGCCGACCTGTCTCCAGAAGACCTATATATGGGACCAATGCCAAATAGATTTTGAATTTCTTCCCACAAGCGTCTATAGGAAAATGAGTATCGTTACGTAAAACGGAGGCGAGGGGCTGATATCGCAGTGAAGCGGAGAGCCCCCGACCGGGAAATCGGTTTCGTGTTCGTGTCATGCGTGCGTCCGGCGGTGGCGGTGGTTGGGGGTGTCCCGCGGTTGTCCCGTCTGTGTTCCGTAATGAGATCGATAGTGAGATCGATAGTGAGATCGATAGTGAGACCGACAGTGAGATCGATAGTGAGATTGATAGTGAGATCGATATTCAGATCGATAGTGATATCGATAGTGAGATCGATTAAGTGAGAAGTTGGTTCCCCCCCTCGGAGCCTCCTTATCACCCGAAGCGTGGTTGCATAGGTAGACACATTCGGGGTGGATGCGACTGTAGACAACGCGGCCGATGCGTTCGGCGCAGTACACGGTCAGAGAAAGGGTAGATCCGTCTACGGCATGTACCTGTTTTGGAGAAGGTCCCACTTCCCAGGCTTCCAGATGGGGTCGGAGTAGATGGGGTCGGAGGATAACGCCGCATCGCCGTTGCATCGACTCCCAGGCTTCCCAGATGCGGTCGCAGTAGATGGGGTCGGAGGATAGCGCCGCATCGCCGATGCATGGACGATGCGGCTCGATGCGGAGCCCGATTTGCTTCGCGCCGACGTCGCGGATGCATCCCCGACGTCGACGGTGCATCGCCGATGCATTGGCGATGCATCGTCGATGCATCAGCGATGCGGCGTGATCCTCCGACCCTCAGCCACTCCGACCTGCTCCGCAGTCTGGGGTGAGCCGCTCTCCTGTGTGGTCGGGAGGGCTGCGTCCCCGACTGCGGGCCACCCCGGGCCCTGATCGGCGGCGAGCCCCAGGGGGGGGTCAGCGAGGAGGAGGGGGGGCTGTCGGGTTTACTGCGGGGCCGCCCTCCTGTGTCCTCTGTGCTGCCCTTTTCTTGCTGCGTTGGCCTCCCGTCTCGAGGTGCCCGCCGCCTGCCGCTCGGCTGCCGGGCAGGGCGGCCCTGCAGCCCACGAGAGCAGCAGAGGGCACCCGGGCAGCTCCCCGGCTGCCCAGTGTTGCCCCAGGGCTCCTGCGGGGACGCCACCGCACGACCAGGATGGCGCCAGAGGCCGCAAGATCCCAAGACGGCCGAAAGTCAAGGGGTGAAAAAACGACCCTGCCCTGGGTTAACAAGTGCGTGGTCTGTAAACCTCCCAGTACCCCCCAGAGCCTAGAGCCGCCAGGACGCGGCACGTCACGCAGGGTTTGCCCTGTCGGCCCACAGGAACTTCAGCGCACGGCGCCTCGTAAGCCAGGGCAGGGGCGTTTTTTTCTGCCCAGGCGGCCTCTGCATGCCTCCAAGATGGCCCATGATCAGGAGGGAAAGAAACACACAGACACAATGAATCGTCGAGTCCCAGGAAAATATAGGAAAATATGGGAATTGGGCGGGAAGACAAAAACCCAGCAAAAATATTGGAAAATATGGGGAATCCTTTTATTTCTGTGTATTTATTTGTGTGTCCCAGGGCCCCTTCACATGAGCCCGAGGGGGGAAGCCCAAGAAGGGGCAGGCCCGCCCAGAGGGTTTTCAGAAGCCCCCTCGGCCTCCCGAGGAGAGCCTGCGGAGCCCTCCCCGAAGGCGCGGGAGACCTCTCGGGAGGCCGGGGGGGCTTCTGAGCCTTCTTCTCCCCCTCCCCCTCCTCGTCCCCCTCCTCCTCCTCGTCCTCCTCCTCCCCCTCCTCCTCCTCCTCCTCCTCCTCCTCCTCCTCCTCCTCCTCCTCCTCGTCCTTCTAGGAGCCCCGCCGACTTCTGAGAAGGCTTTCTCCTCCTCGCTTCCCCCCCCCCCTCGCTCTGAGCCGCACCGTGGCCACGCTGTGCCGGCGGCGAGCGAGTCCCCTGTGTTCGGTGCCGTTTCTCCGATCCCCCATCCCCATCCGCATCCCCTTCGAGACCCCCCACCCGAATTGCCGCCCCAGCTGGGGAGACGCCCCTCGGAACCCGAAGGGAACGGCTTGTGTAGCCCCATCTGGGGGGGGGGAATTCAATCGGCCAGCGGGGCCCGGGCCTCGCCGCTGGGGACTGGGGGACCGGCCAAACGCTACTCGTGTGCTGGGATTTCCAGTCGGCCCCCATCGGCCCCTCACCTCTCGGGCTCCTCGCCTCGGTCTCTCTCTCTCTCTCTCTCTTTCTCTCTTTGTTTTCTCTCTCTCTCTCTTTTCTCTCTCTCTCTCTCTCTTTCTCTCTCTTCTGACCCTTCGACAGCCCCCCACCCTCGCTCCTCCTGCGGCTCTCTCTCTCTCTCTTTCTCTTTCTGTGGGAGCTGGGGCACGATCATGGACGGCGAGGATCGGGGGGGGGCAAGGGCCCAGGGGGAGACGAAGCTTCGAGGCTCGATGGTCGAGGTTTGCGGACGCTTCCGTGGGTTCTCGGCGGCGTTCCAGCCTCGGGGCGCTCTCCGGCAGCCTGCCGCAGGGCCACCAGCTGCCGTAGGGCCGCCATGCGGACTTGCCCGGGCGCCCTGCTTTGGTGGGCAGGGCCGCCTCGATTGACAGTCGATAGGCAGGCGGCAGGCACCTCGAGGCAGGAGACCAAGCAGGAGGAAAGGCAGCACAGAGAACACACACGAGGACAGCCCAGCAGTAAATGTGACAGCCTCGTGCCCCTGGGGGGCAGGCGGACTTCCCGAGGTCCAGAGACGACTCGGCCCTGTTTGTTTACCCAGTTTTCTCTTGTGGAGTGTCCTTATCAGTCCCTGAGGGCTGCCGACCCCAATGGTAAGTCGGGCCTGTCCCTCTACAGGGGGAATTTTCAAAAATAGTCAACAACTAGTCTGGGGACGATTTGTTGATTATTTTTGGTTATTTGGGGGGGCATTCTTTTGATTTTTTTATATTTCGCCCAAAGTCGCCCTGTAGGGGGAACATGCCCGACCTGACCCCAATGCTTGGAATCGGGTCAGGGCGCCAGAGACGGGGGCACAGCAAACGGGGGTACGGGGAGCGCCGATTTCCACGTTTGGCTGTGCCCCCGGGACCGGGACCCTGGGCGCTGCAGAGGGGGGGTTACCGTAAACGGGGGCCTATGGAAAAACCTACAGGCGGCCCGGATTAGTAGGTCGACCCTGCCAGATCAAGGGTGCCCTCGTGTCCCGTGTCTTGCGACCCAGGCCTCCTGCACTTCTGTGGCCACGTGGCCCTCGGAAGGGTCCTGTGCCCTCTCGCGTGCCCTCTCCAAAATCAAGTCCGATTGTAAGCCCCCGTTCAGCTAAACCCCCGATCGGGGGCGGGCAGCGGCGGCGGCGGCGACGACGACGACAAGACGACGACGACGACGACGACGACGACGACGACGACGACGACGAC